CCTGACTGCTTTGTTGAAGCAGCCACTTAAAGAACTGAGCTAAGGGACAGGCCCCTCTGTTTTGAAGGTTGAGAAGCCCAAGAGCACAGAGGCAGCCCTTGGCCTGGGCTACATCCTAAGGTGGGAGAGGTGTCACTTGGTAAAGAAACAGAGCAAAGTCTCCCTCCTAATAAATGCCACCCAGAGGCATCTGGACACACATGTCCTCAACTAATCCTAATCCCCTCCTTGTTATGGTTTGTGTTCCCCTAAACCTGGGTGCACTCATGGGGATTGGCTTTTCAAAGACAGCTTGTTTCAAAGACATGGACTTCTTGTAACTAAGACACTCCCCAAGGTCCTACCACCAGATAACCATTAATATAGGAAGGGGGACTAAGTTTCCAATGCATGGACTCTTGGGGGAGACACAGACCTTTGATCAGACCTCCTTGTCCCAGTGCATCACTTCCTGTTTTTCCCTTAGCTCCTGAGGTTATCTGCTGTTCTGTGTGGGACAAGCGCCTTCCTTTCTCCTGTGGGATTGTTGCAGCAAATCCTGAGTGCAGCAGGTGCTACATAAACATCTTTTAGCAGTGAAATCATTCGACTCTCTTCTTCCTAGTTGTGTTGGTTACTTTTTCTTTTTGAGGAGACAAAATACCCAACACCGAAATTAAAGGGGGAAAGGTGTATTTAGCTCACAGTTTGTGGAGATTTCAGTCCGTACTCACCTGCCTCCAAGGCAGGGTGGCACATAGCAGAGGGCAGCAGTTCATGGCAGCAGAAAACAGTCAACGCAGCCAGAGCAACAGGGAGGAGCAGTGGCAGGGAGCCGGCCTCTTTCCCTCTGTCCTGTTGCCAGGGCGGGTGCAGCTCTCCTACCCATAATCCCAGCATTGGACTATGAATTAATCATCAACTCTAGAAGCCCATGCTCATGCCCGCATGAGGCTTTGGGGGGACATTTAGACAGAAGCCATAGCGCTAATCAAAAGTGGGGATCGTTGCATTTTAAGCCACACATAGTGTCGAGCACTTGCAGGGTGAATTTGCCTGTTCCCTGATTACAGGTGTCCCCTGCTCGGTTGACCTTTCCCCCTTTATTTAGCTGCTTATTCATTTAACACTTTGTTCCTACAAGCTGTAGGTTGGACCCCATATTATAGTGAGAGTTCATCTTGCAAGACCAGGTTTGTGTAGCAGGTTTCCTCTTTCTACTGTCTGTGCTGCAATACATGTTTGAATTTGTTTTTTTTAATCACAAACTTGTATTAACTTTAGAAGTAGAATACTGTACTTTTTTTTTTTTTTTCCCCAGAACCTGGGACTGAACTCAGGCCCTTGTGCTTGCCAGGGAAGCACTTATTCCACTGAGCCATCTGCCCAGCCCCCAAAACTGGACTGTTATTAAGTAAATTAAACAAACCAAGGGAAATAGTATTTGTTTTCCCCTCTTTCGATTTCTACCTTCTGAGAAAGGGATATATATTTAAAGGGAAGAAATGGTTGTATGGATAAAATGAAGCACGGTGGCTGGAAAGCAGTAGAAATGTTCCTGCCTGGGCTAGGGAAGTTCCGGCTTCCCTCTGAAGCCCAGTAACTGACTCAGCTGACAACTGGGGATGTAACTCAGTGGCATATCCTCCTGGCAAGCACAAGGTGGTGAGTTCGATTTCTGGTACCCAAATAAATGTTCATCACTGAGTCAGCTGACCCAAAGTGTGCGTAGGCAGAGGAAAGGGAAAAAGCATTCAGATTTATAATGTGTCAGAACGCAGGCGACTTGAAAATGTGAAACTCAAAGAAGAGCCACATCAGTGAGGTTTACCTATGAAGTTCCTGGGGCAGGGGCTGTAGGTTGGTGAAGTGGGGCGTGGGTGGGCTTTAGTGGGGAGTACAAGCCAGGAGACAGACAGGGCCCCAATGTGGCTTTGGTTTTTCCTCATACTTCTGCTATCTTGCCTTTTTTTTTTTTTTTTTTTTTTTTTCCAGTACTGGGGATCAAACTCTGGACCTTGCGCTTAACTGCCAGATGCTTATGCCATTGAGCTAACTCCCAGTTCTTGGTTTTGATTTTTCAAATTCTTCTTCTGTGATATGAACTTTTTAAAGTTTTGATTTGATTTGATTTGATTTTAACAGAAGGGCTCGGGGCCGAGGAGATAGCTCAGTAGACTAAGTGCTTGCCTGGCAAGCACAGGGTCCTGAGTTCAATCCTTGGTACTACAAAGAAAGAAAGAAAGAAAGAAAGAAAGAAAGAAAGAAAGAAAGAAAGAAAGAAAGAAAGAAAGAAAGAAAGAAAGAAAGAAAGAAAGAAAGAGAAAAAATCAGCTCTGGGACTGGAGATTTGGCTCAGCGGTAGAATGCTTGCCTAGCAAGCTGGAATCCCTAGGTTTGGTCCTTGGCACCAAAAACAAAAAATAAACCTCCCTTAAAAAACAATTTAACCAAAAAAATACAGTAAAATCAAAAAAGACCAACAAGGCAGCTTAACAGGAGGGTTCAAGTCAGTCTTTTCCCCCTTGGTGGATCTGGTGCTTTGGCCGAAAGGGGACTTCAGGGAAAGTGTTTCTGGCATTTGCTCTTACGGATGGGGGAGCCGGAAGCCACACATCTTGGGGGGGTCTCTTGTCCTGAGAGACCCCAATCTCCACAGCCCTAGATAAACATATTTCCAGCCCGCAGCTGACCCATGAAAGCACATAGCAGCCCTCACTCCCCCTAGACCTCAGGTAAAGGACAGCCCCTGGGTTCTCCCATTGCAGGCGCTAGTCCTCTGTCTGACCTTCACCCTCTGAGAGGGCCAGGAGGGAGCCAGGTGGAAGGGTGACAGCTGATCGAGAGGCCCTGGGGTCGCCCTGGCCACCACCAAGGGGTTTGTGTGGTCCAGGATACCAAGGCTCTGAGGAGGTTGGAGGAAGAATTCCCAGGCCCTCAGTTCTGTCCCTAATTCCCTCGCTTTTATCTGTCATTAGCCATTTAGGTGCTTGGCTGAACACTTAGGCTAAACATTCTTTTTTAGGTATCAGCTAAATATACTGTGTTGTTAGTCACCAGTTCTGGCAGAGACCAGCCACACACACACACACACACACACACACACACACACATTCACAAAGCTAAAGTACAACTAATATGAGCCTATATTTTTAGAAATAGTTGTGGGCCAGCTGAAATAAAAACATTTTCTGCTGCATTCCAGCAGGCAGGCATTGGCTGGAAGCTCTGAGTCTGGAACCTATTTTTTTGTGGACACAAAAATTGTAAATTATCTCCCCGAGACTGCCTGAGGCAGCCTTTATGAGACTATTGGCCACATGTGTGGCAGAGTCTGTGACTGAACAGATGTAAGAAAAGCGATCTTAGTTTCCCTGCAGGACGTGGGAGGAGTCATCATTTATAGGTTTTAAATTCTATTTGTGTATTTCTTTATTGGTGGTTGAGATTTGGTTCCTTCAGCATTTAGTAGCAGGCAGGTGAACAAACAAACGTGTGTGTGTGTGTGTGTGTGTGTGTGTGTGTGTGTGCGTGCGTGCACACGCACGTGTGCATCGGAGGTGTGAGTTTCTAGGGGTACCCCTAGAAACCGTGTACCCCTCCCTCAAGGCTGAGCAACTAAAGACCTACCCGGGCCACTTTTCACCATGAAAGGCTAAACTCAGGCATTGTGTTTTGCAGGTATTGCTGAAATCAGGGAAGAGACCAAGCCCGAACAGCCAACTCCTGGGAGCCTGCAAGCGGCCCACCAGCCATCTTCCGACCCTCACACCCATGGGTACCAGCCTGCCTCGATGCTATCACCAACCCAGCCTGGAAGGCCACATCCAGAAGACATGACTGCCCCCCAAGCCACCTCTGCTGCAGCAAAGCTCCAACCACCTGTTGTGTTTAATCACGTAGTTGGGCACATAACACTTTCCGAACACAAAGGTGTCAAATTTAATTGCTCCATCAATGTACCTAATATGTACCAGGAAACCGAAAGTGTTTCCTGGTGGAAAGATGGGAAAGAATTGCGCGGAGCACATAATACAATTACACAGTACTATCCTGATAATGAAGGAACGTCAATAATTGCATTCTTCAGGTAAGTGTCCTTCCTCGCATCCTTTTTCAGAGTCCTAATACTACCTCAAAAACAAAAGCCTCCTAAGTCTTCATTTTCTGTTCAAGCTAGCTTGATCCCTTAGCAAGTCAATGGGTACTGTAGCTGACAGTCTGCATTGTTGATTTCTTTTAAGCTGAGCTTGAACTCACATAAGTGTGGGTTCACAGAGCTGAAGGCTGGGAGGGCTTCTTCCCTTCTGACCTGCAGGTCACTGTCCAGAGTTCTACCGTTGAGTGGAACCATGGTTTATATCATTGACCCATACCCCCAGCCCACCAGAAAGTGTTTCTAAGGGGTATGATGAGTGGGGGTGGTGGCAGTGGGGGTCAGCCAAGCCCAGTGTGTACCCAGAATCCTCTGTTCTCCCCTACACCGAGCCAGCCTAGTTCAGGTGCCACGGGCCTCTCTTTACACCTCCTCTTTGGGATTCTCGCTTCTTTCCTCTTCAGCTGAAGGGGTTGAGGAGCTTTTCTTTTCTTCCTTTTTATGTTTTGGCTTATTTATTTACCTGATCTCCTTAACAAGCAGAAATTGTGCATATTTGTGGTGTACAGAGTGATTCTACCACACACACATAGAGTGTGCTCGTCAGATTGGCGTCGCTAGCGTTTTCCTTTCCTTATCATTTACGTTTGGAGCGTCTGAGCTCCTCTTTCTAGATATGCATAGAGTATGGAATGGGCTGTTCTTACAGCACAGTGCGCTCATGTGGCTGCGGGATGCCAGATCTAGTTCCTTCCACTGAACGTGGCTTTGGTCCCTGTACTTCGTCACCCCAGCTCTTCCCAGCTGCAAGTAATCACTATTCTGCGGTGAGGCCAACTTACTCAGTTTTTTTCAAGAAGATAACTGATGTTTATTAAATGCTCGTCAATAAGTATACAGATCAACTTTTGAAAACCTGAGCTGTATGCATATGTGCATGTGTGTGCACGCGTGCGTGTGTGCATGTGTATGTGCATGTGTTTTGCTTGAGGTCTTCTTTGCATGCACAATTACAGAACTGGCTTAGCCTGTAGTTGTTCAGAGTTCAAAGTAAGATTGAGTCACCTCGTCTCTGTGATTTCTCTACCCCAGGGCGGAGCCTTCTTTGATCTGTCACATTTTCACTTTCTCTGACCTGACACGCGGCATCGCCCCATACTCTGTCCTGTCCTTTGGTGAATCATTTTATGTTTCCTTTTCAGAAAACCACCTCCCAGTCACCCACAGATAGAATGACTCCAGGCAGAATCTGTTAATACTTCCCCAAAATGTGCCTTTTTTGCACATTTTCTCCAGGATGCAGGCTCAGGCAGTGGGAAAAGAATACCAACTTCTGCAGTTTCCCTTGGTGGATGTAACAGCCTGGGGATTTGACTGTATTGTTTTGTATATCAACTACACAAAGTGGATGTTTTGCCATTGTATAGACACAGCCTCTGATGAAGAAGATAAAACCATGGTTCACTAACAAGCAAGAGAGGAGTCATTTTAAGGCTCTGTGAAAGAGAAAGTGGTGCGTTGTTGTCATCAGGTGTCCCTGGGGGAGCACAGCACTGTTGGCTCTCTGGCGTGCCCAAGCTGTGACCATGCACTGCCTCTCCTTGGTCTTGTTTCCATAGCCTTGGGCTAGACATGTGACTGCCAGTTCCAGGTCTGCTTCAAGGAGCTAATTTAAGGGACCTTAAATGGGAGGGTTTTTAAGCTGGGAGTCCTGGTGGTCCTATTGTGCTTTAGGTTTGAGAAGGCAACCTGGGTGATATTTGGAGAACAGTAGGATTCATTTGTAACCAGTCTGTATTCAGCTTATTATATGTAATTCATTCTAAAGGAGGAAAGAATATTACTCGACCCCCAAGCCAAGCTTTATAACAGAACCATAGTGGTCCAAAGTCTTAGAAGTCATGGATATTCAACTGAAATAGGTAGCATTTAGGACAATACCAAATGCACCTTCTTAAGGTCATGTTCAGGCGGCACAGTAGCTGTTGGGTGATCAATAAAATAAATTATAGTGACTTAATCAAAATTAAAAACATTTGTGTAGTTTCTTGGCAAGAGACAAAGATTAGTTAAAGACCTTAAACATGATACTTTTTTCTTTTATGTATTTGGTGCAGGGTCTACAGGGTGTTCAGGGTCTAACTACGTAGATTGGACTCACAGTGATCTTCCTGTTTTCATCTTCCCAAGCGCTGGTATTACAGGCATGTGTCACCACGCCCAGTCTCAGTCGCACTCTCACTGCACCCCAGGGGCAGGGCCTGAACCTCAACCTCTGCGCTCTGCCTAAGCAGGCACTTTAGTCTGCTGAACTATCTGGCCAGCCCAACATGCTACTTTCAAATAAGGACACCAAAGTCCTTATAAACAAGGTGACTTTCCCACAGTCAGGAGCTTGTGTGCTGGTCACACTTAAACAGGGAGCTTGATTTGCACACCTGTTGCACCATCACTTTTCACATCTCATAGGCCCACAAGGAAAACCTCTTTCCCCAGGAAGGCATAAAAAAATAGTCTCAGGCTTTCCATATTTATATTTGCTAAGAGTGCATTGGTCTACAGTTTTGTTCGAGTTACCATCAATAATACCTATGCAGACCATATTTATTCGAGGGCATATACTATTACAGTGGCACTTTTATGTTATGCCTGCATGTTATCAGCCATACATACGAAGTCTTAGAAGTGGTGTATACCTGTATGTTATCTGGGATTACAGAGAAGCATAATATCTAGACTTAATCATGGACCCATTTTTCTATAAGGTATAAGTGCCATATGCAGCAATTCTCATTAAGCAGGGGCCGAATTTATAGGAATTTGGAAAATGATGAAGTCTCCAAATTGAGGACCCCACAGCTTGCACCTATACTCATCCTTCAACTATAGTGTAGGCCAGCCAGATAGCTCAGCAGATGAAAGCATCTGCTTAGGCAGACACAGGGGCTAGGGTTCTATCCACCCCATGCTGTGCTGGCCCCACCTCATGGGGTGTGCTGAGAGCACAATTGAGATTGTGCATGGTGGCACACACCTGTAATCCCAGGGCTTGGGAGGCTGAAGACAGGAGAATCACTACGAGTCCAGTCTACGTAGTGAGACCCTGTAGGCCCTGTACTAAATACGTTAAAAATAAATAAATAAATAAATAAAGCATAATTGTGAGATTCTAGAGACTGATAATATTATAAATGCTATACATGTTTTTTTTAGGATGGAGTTGTGTCTCATGGAGGGACCTTTCTGCTACTGCAGAATGCCCGCATCTCACAATGAAACCTCAGTTAGTTGTAATGGGGGGGAACAGTGGCTGTGGAAATAATAGCTCACAGGCAGGGAAATACAAATGCCACATCCTGGGAAAGATGGAGATTTAGCACGATGTGTGAATGTGTTCCTGGAAGATATTTGCTTATTTTTATCTTTTTATCTTTTTTTTTTGGCACCTGGGATTGGACTCAGGACCTTGTGCTTCTGCCAGGTAGATGCTTAAGCCATTGCGCGTTCTCCCCAGCCTATATTTTTATCTTTATTAGTACATGTTTGTGGTCCGTAATAACTACATTCTTTATGGAGAGTTCATATGCACACAACATGTCTTAATTCTTTTTATTCCCCCCATTCCCCTGAAAGGTTTTTAAAATAAGTTATGTGTGTATGTATTTTTATATTTTGAAAAATAATAACACGTACAGTGAGGGAAATAGTGGCTCATAACTCCACTGCCCTAAGAAAAAGTTTCCATGCATATGTAAGTTTAATATTCTTGAAATCAATTAGTATATTATTGTGTAGATGATTATGCATGTTTCATTCACATTAAAAGTCTTCAAAATAGTCGAATGGTTGTTCTATGTCACGGCATTCTGCTATTGTAAAACAGAAGCAAATACAACAACCACTGTTAATTTTCTATTCTTGTTTGGAAATTCTGTACCATTTTTATTGTTTTGTATTGATTATTATCTTTGTGGGGTTTTTTTTCTCTCTTTAAACTAATAAGTTAAAAATGCAAATAAGATTATAAAGGGAGACCATTAAAAAATTAGGCTTTTTTCTTTTCTTATTCTTTCTGAGATACAATCTCAGTTTGTAGTTCAGGCTGACCTCGAACTTGCTGTGGCAATCCTCCTGCCTCGGCCTCCTGAGTGCTGGGATTACAGGCATGAGCCACCATGTACAGGTAAAAAGTATTTTCAAAATGGCAAGGTTGGGGCCAGGGAGATGGTTCAGTGGAATAAGCACTTCCCTGGTAAGCGCAAGGGCCTGAGTTCAATGCCCAGTTCAGAAAAAAAAAAAAAAAAAAGGCAAGGTAGAGGGTATATACAGGGTATATACACAGGAAAAAGTGCATGATGCAGTGTTTCTCACCCTGACGCCCTCCTGCGCTGGGGTTGTCCTAGGCTAGCAATCATGCTTTGGTTTTGTTTCCTGTTTGAACATGTGTCTGATGTTGCTGATGGATCCAAGAGTCATCTTTTATCGATAGACAAGGAAAACACTCAGGGCCTGCTAGTGGGTGGCAGTGGTGCATGATAAATACCGAAAGCCCCCACAACCATCTTCTCTCCTGCCTGGTCTCAGTGTTGTGGGCTCAGGCCACAGTCCAAGGAGAGCACTTCCCAGCTTCCTTGGCAGGATTTCTCTCCCTGGGCCCAGCCTCCTCCTGGCGCTGCAGTGCGTAACCCGCCTCCTCAGCATCCGGTACCAGCTCATACCCATTCTGCCTTCATTTGTCCAGACCCCAGAACCCTGCCTGGCTGAGCCCCGGCCCTGGAGTCCTTTGAGGAGGGAGAATTATGGCTACTGTTGGCTCGAAGGTCTGCTTTACTGTGTCCAAAGCCCGCCAGCTTATATTGAACTGTCCCTTGTCAGGTGACACATTCCAGAGTCAGTAGCCTTCAGACCAGAGGACCAGGGAGACCAACTGTCAAGTACAAGTGAAAACCGAGACTCTTGAAAGGTGGCAGATGTAGTTATTGGGAGATCTGTGGTGCAGGGAAAATGTTTATTGTTTGTGTTCTGTTTAGTCTAAGGACTCCCAGGGCTTTTTAAAATTCCAGCATAGTTCCCAGGGGCTGAAGCTGCATGGATTCTTACTTTCTCAGGAACTTCTCCTTGGAAGGATGTTAAGTGGGTAGTTAGGGCCCCCCAGCCATCTCTAAGCAGGCTCCTGGCTCTGTGGGTGCTGCGTTTTCAGCCCCCACCTCTCACTCAGTGCCAACCCTTACCCGCACTTTGCCTTCCTCGGCCCTGGCCCTGATGCCCTGGCCCTGTCCGATGCTTATCATCAGCTCTTTGTCTTGCTGATTTTGGAGGCCATGACCATGGAATCGCAGGAGAACAGTTAGCAGACCTCAGGAAAACAAGAACCGCCCCCCCCCCAGCCATGCTGGAGACCGAGTCCAGGGTTCACACTGAGCAGCATACGTCCCCAGTCTTTTTTGTGTTTTGAGACAGTGTTGTCTCGCTAAATCTCTGAGCTACCCAAACTGTGCTCAAGCTTGGGATCTTTCTCCCTGTACCTCCCAGAGTGCAGGGATTGCAGGGCATTTGCTGCCCTGCCTCGCTAAGACCATAATTTCTTTAGCCAGACCGTGAGCAAGCAGAGTTATTATCAACTGCAGAGCTGATTACCAACGAGCTTCCCACTCACAAGGCTTCTTCTTCTTCTGGAAGTTTCTTGTGCCTGGGTTATTCGTTATACCCCAGCAGCGCCGTTTGAACCATGCCCGGTGAAACTAGGAAACTCACCAGCGGGTCTTTGTGTTTTGTTTTTTTTTTTTCTTTCTATTGTGTAATTTTTAAAATTGTAACTATTCATAACCTAAGATTCACTGTTTTAACCCTTTTAGAGTGTATGGTTCAGTGGCATCAGCACGGGCATATGAAGCACAACCATCGCCACTAACCATCTGCAGAGCTTGTCCCCTTTCTAAACTAAGACCCCGCACACACACACACACACACACACACACACACACACACACAGAGCCCAGCCCCTGGTCACTGGGATACTCTAGTTTTTGTCTCCGTGTGTTTGACTAAGCATTTCATAAACATAGAATTATATACTATCTGTCCCTCGCACCATTTCTGGACAGGCCACTGATCAGGCAGGGCCGAGGGGTAGAGGAGGTGGCGCTGTAGGTCTGCAGATGCCCTGGGGCTGACCCAGTTCTGCCCATCAGCTTCTCCTGCTGCCAGCGCTGCAGCTGCGGCCAGGTGGTTCCTGTCTAGACGCTGTGGCTGAGTCTGTATCATTTCATTCAACCCCCTTGGTCCAGATGTCTGGGTGTTGCCAAAATCTGGAGAGGTTTCATTGCTTTTCTTCAGGGCAGTGCTGGGGATGGAACCAAGAGCGTCCACCATGCTGGGCGAGTGCTCTCGCCTGGTCAATACCCCCGGCCCCTACCATTTTTTAAAGCATTGAGTGCACAAGGTAAGAGTTTCAATTCTCTCTCCTCACTCCAGTCCTGGCCCCTACAGAGCGGGAGCTGAGGTGACCCCTCTCGTCAGTGTCATCCAGGGATACTCAGCCCCCAGCAGTCTGTGGATGTGGCCCTGTGTGACAGTCCCCAAGATGGTATGTGTTCATCTGAAGCGTTACTCATAGCCGTGGTTAAACCAGGGTTCACTTTTGGGTTTTTTTGTGGCTGTGGAAATTGTGTTTTCAGCTGAGTCATGCATTACATTAAATTATATTTTACTCCTCCAGTAGTTTTTTGATTTCCCGAAGAGTTTCCTTGCTGGTTAGTTTGCTTAGTTTTCTAAGAAAGGATCACTCATTCTTTCCTAAACTCTGGAGGGAAACTTCGTATCACTGTGTGCGCCTCCAGCTTTCACAGTGGCTCATTTTTTTCCCCCTGGGAGGTTCTCTGTCCCAGCTCCCTCACTCCTGCCTCAGTCTGAACATATTGCTGTCCAGATCTGGGTCCACTTGTGTCACTCTGGGGACCCCTGCCCATCCTACATTCCAGCTCCTGTTTCTCAGAGCCAGGTTCCCCGCTTTCTCAGAACCCTGGTCCCCCCAGCGTGGCCCCTCCTTCTTACTCTAGCGCAGAGCCCTTCCTCTACTAACTTCCTGGGTCATTTGTGTCTGAAAAGTTTCTTTCCCCCACCTGACGTTGAGATGGTTTGGCTAAATGCAGACTGAAAAAGGAAAATAATGTCCTGCTGTAATCGGGAAGTCATTGGTATATTTCCTTAGAGTTCCTAGAGTTGCTTTTGAGAAGTAGGACATGGGCCTGACTCAGTCATCAATAACCTGCATTTCTTTCCGGGAGCTTTTGTGCGATGTTTGCTTATCTTAGAGTTGTGACTTCCCTGATAACGCTCCATGTTGACCACCACCCCCCCAGTCTGATTTTTCATCCTGTCCAGGGCCTGGTTAGAGAAAGACCCACTCTGAGGTTCTGGGGTAATTTCTTGAGTTATCCTTTGTTCCCCCTTCTGTGCATTTTTTCAATTTTCTTAGTCACCTAAGTTTACTATTTTGAACTCAGGGCTTTTCTGGTCAACCCTCCATGAATATGGAGCCTCCTGACGCGGGGGGAAGGAAGATGGTGGGAACAGCCAGTGTTCTGTCTCTGGTCCCACCCCACATCCAGCCTTTGCAGGGAATTGGGCCTCGATGTGGAGGTCTAGGAAGCAAAGGCAGAATTATTTATGGAAAGTCTTGCTGGTGCCATGGGAGAAATGGGTCTGCCTGGTAACCAACCCAAAAGCCCGGCCTCACACGGACTGCTAGTCCCTCCTCAGCGTGCGTGGCGAGTGGCGATGCTGCATCGTGTTCCCCTTGTGTCCTGCTTGCTCTTTTCCTATCATGGGCTGGCTTGCCCTTGCAGTGTGGTGTGAGCTAGTCCTGGAGATCACCGATCACGTGCCATCCGATTTCTGCAGTGCCAGCGCGCACCACCTGTGACTGTGTCTGGTTGCTTCTCAGGCGTTCCAGACCTCTGCTGCACCCCGCTTCCCGGAGCTGCGCTGTGTCGCCCTCTGGCCTTCACCTTCTCTCTGGGCCCTGTCTCCTTGAGTCTTGCTGCAAACCATCTGCTCCTAGGGGGTCCCTGGCCAGCACCCAAAGACATCTGTCAAAGGCGCAGCTGTCCGATCACCTAGTTTCTGCCGTCGAACCTTGGGCCTTGCCTGCAGAAAAGGCTGGTACTCAGATTAGAGGAGCAAAGTCCTAGGAAGGAGAGCGGGCTCTCCACACTTTTTTCTCTTTTTGTTTTTCCCCCGGGTCATGGTTCTCCTTTTTTGTTTTATGAGAGGTTCCCTTGAGTCCATTAGAGCATCCTCCCTTGAAGATCTGAGAGTATTTCAAAGCCTTCCTCACTCCCTCTTCCCTTCCCACCTTGCCCCAGTGCAGCTCTGTTACACGTACTGTGTAACAGGCAGGGTGTCTTTTATACTACATCATATATATAATATATATTTTTATGTATTTGGTACAGGGTCTCACTGTGCAGCTGAGACTCATAGTGATCCTTCCATTTTCAGCCTCCCCAGCGCTGGGATTACAGGCATGTGCCACCATGCCCGGTCTCAGTGGCCAGCTCAGCACACCCGTCTGGAGTTGGGGCCGGCGCAGCATGTGGTGCCGAGGATGGAACTCTTAGGCACTTAGTCCACTGAGCTATCTCTCTGGCTCTCACGTCCTGCATTTCTTAACAGATAATATTCCCATGGTAAAGTAAAGAAGACAAAGCGTGTTCATAATACACCAATGAGACTTTGGCATTAAGACAGATAAAGAAACAGCCGTGGACTGGTACTTGGTGACACATGACAGTAGCAAATGCAGGGGTGCTGTTAGAGACTGGCCTTGCATGGTGATGGCAGAGGCCTCGAAAACCCCATGCAAAGGCAAGGGGGCAGCAGCCCGGTGAGCTCATGGCAGTTGCAGTCCTGAGGAGCTTGGTGAATATTATAGCTGCTGGGTACTTTGCGCATACACAAATGGACCTAGCTTCTAACCCCAGATATGGAACAGTTGTCCCTGGGCTCTGAGGCTGGAGTCACTGTGAGCACCACCAATGGCTCCACAAAGTTCCAAAATGCCTTGAGGGTGTGGAAGCAAATCCCTCATGTACCCAGGCGTGGTGTCGCCAGCCTGTAATCCCAGCACTCAGGAGCCTGAGGCAGGAGGATGGTTGCAAGTTTGAGACCAGCCTGGGCTACAGAGTGAGCTCAAGGCTAGCCTGAACTGCGTAGCGAGATCCTGTCTGAAAAAGACAAGAAAACAAAAACAAATCCCTCATGTAGAGTTTACGCTAGGTGTTAGGATATGTGTTAGGTCATGTTTGATGTGATGGTTGGTCCGATTAGTGTGTGTGTTTGTGTGTGTGTGTGTGTGTGTGTGTGAGAGAGAGAGAGAGAGAGAGAGAGAGAGACAGACAGGCAGAGACAGAGAGAGAGACAGAGAGACAGAGAGAGAGAGAGAGAGAGAGACAGAGAGAGAGAGCGCCAACTTTTTTAAGGCATTTGCTCTTGCTGTAATGGGCAGTGGCATAGCTGAAGTCAGCAGGGTGTGTGGTGGAGGCGCAGGGAAGAGCTGATGCAGTGTGTAGTCCTGAAGCTGTTTGGGGATAGAATTTCCACTTTCTCAGAAGATGTCAGTCTTTTCTGGTGAGGACTTTCACTGAGTAGATAAGGCCCACATTCATATTGTGAATGATAATCTTCTTCACTCAGAGGCTGCTGTTGTACATGTCGGTGACGGCTGAAAACACCTCCGCAGTGACATCTGGACTGGTGTTTGGCCAAGCAGCTGTCTACCATGGTTTGAACCCCTTGACACGTAGTATTAGCCATCACAGCTCATGACCAGGAAGTTGGGAGCATTTTCTCTTCCTCTACTAGGGACTCCAAGGACAGTCATGTAAAGACCTTTCTGTGTTTTTCTTTGAAGCATAACCAGTGTGCAGCGCTCAGACAGCGGGTTATACATGTGTAAGATGAAAGTGAACAACATCGAGATTGTGTCTGACCCCATCAACATCGAGGTGCAAGGTGAGTCCACGGGCCACAGTGTCCTGTTGCTTGAGAGCTACCCTCGAGCTTGCATTCAGTGTTTAGTGCATAATACTCTAGGATTCATCCTATTTATAATTCTGCATGTAAACTTTGCAAACCCATTAGCATTGAAACTTTACAAGACAATCCTTTCTAACCTCTATACTAGCATGAGAGGTAAGAATAAAAGAGATTACGGACTCCCTCATCCACAAGTTTGTTTTTTTATATATAATTTTTAAACAAACTAAAGATTTCTCTTTGGGGAGCAAAACGCATTGTGTTATCCAGATTTTGGGACTGGCACCTGAGTCGCTCTCATGGTCCAGGTGCATCTGGTGGATCATCGGAGGGTGACTGCCTTCCCTAGGCCAGGCCTGCAGCTTTACCTGGGCCTCCTCTCAGCTTCAGTTTCCCACACGTTGTCCCAGAAGTGCAGCTCCCAGGGACCACTTGGGCTGCAAACGGAGACAAGGAGCAGTCGCTTGGGCCTGGAGGAGCCTGACTGCTAGTGGGAAACGCAAGCTGGTGCGTGGGTGAGCCGGCTAGAGGAGCAGGGGCTGTGTGTGGTACCCCGGCCCTGAGGCTTGCATTCCTGTCCTACAGTGGTGGGGCCTGCCAGTGTAGGCCACAAGGTGAAAAGCACCTTGAGTATGACCCGAGTGGTTGCTTCGTCACCCTGGGGGCCACCCTGTGCGTCCTCGGCATTCCTGCCCTCTCAGGCCCCCCAGCAGCAAGGCTGCTGATTAGATCCTGTCTTCTGCCTTCTCCAGAGCCTCCTCGTTGCAGGGTTTAGCACAGGTGATTAGCTTTGAAGCAGAAGCCTCTCCCCTAAAAGCTTCTCTGCTACGCTTTTTGTTATCGTCAACCTGACGCTTACTAGTGGCAGGAGGCCTGTGAGAGGTGCTGGAGGGAGAGAGTGGGAGAGGTAGAGAAAGGGATTCATGAGGAACCCTCTCACAGGCCCCTTCTGGACCTTTCCTCTACGCTCATTCCAGGCTGCACAAAAGAAGGGGTCTCTTACATTGGCTGTTCATCTGGGGAAGATACTTTGAGGGTATTTTTTAGGTCCAAATCCTCAAATAATGTCCAGGGTAGGAACATATTAAATCCAAACAGACAAACCTTGAAACTGGCAAACAGAGAATCTTATTTCACATATTGCCTATGTCATTCCTGCTAGAACCAGATCTTAAAGAGTTCCCAGCCCCAAAAGAATGCAATTTGAATGCCTGGTGATAGTCAACTTGACCTGTTAAGATTCTGGATAGGGGCTGGTGAGATGGCTCAGTGGTCTAAAGCACCTACTTAGAACAAGCTCAGCAAAGCACAGGGACCATGGTTCAATCCCCCAGCACCACATGCCAGCCCGCCCCGCGCCCTGGTGGGCTGAGCTGGCCCCCCCACACACATAAATAAATAAAAAAAAATTAAAAAAAAAAAAAAGATTCTGGATAAAAGTTGGGTGTGGTGGTGCCTACCTGTGGTCCCAGTCCTCAAGAGGCTAAGGCAGGAGGACTGCGTGAGTTCGAGGTCCGCCTAAACTACATTATGAGACCCTGTCCCAAAAGAAAAAAAAAAAATCTTTTTGGATAAATACCCCAAGTGTAAGTACTCACTAGCTTCATCTGAGATTTCCCAATCTTCCTTGTAGCCCTGATTTTTGAAAGTACAGTGGATTTTAGGATTGTACCGTGGAACTATCTATTGTGTTTTCATGAAAGTGTGCTTTGAAAAATGTACAGCCCACACTGATGTATGGAATTTGCGTGTGCATATGCATGCATGCTGAGGATGAATCCAGGGCTGCACACATGCAAAACGCATACCCTGCCACTACACCCCAGCCCCCAGGGTATAGATTTTAAAATCTGTATTCACCCATCTGGAAGATACACACACACACACACACACACACACACACACAACACGATTGTCTGTAGAACTCAGGAAGTTCTACAGACAATACATAGCTTTATTTTGAGTCTTTATTCAATACATAGCTTTATTTTGAGTCTGTGTTTGTATTGATGAGCAATATTTGAAACCTGCCAGCCAGCCCCAGAGAGAAAGAGACAGACAGAGACAGAGAGAGACAGAAAGAGAGACGGGGGGGGGGCAGACAGAGGCAGAGAGGCAGAGACAGAAAATATCTGTACGTCTATAAAATCCTGGAAAAACTGGCTCTGGATCAGCATTTATAGCCTCCCTGGGAAGGTGTCCTAGAAAGTCTGGCCAGAAGAGACAGGAAGGAGCCTCTCAATGGTCAGAGGGTGGAACTGGCTAATTCAGACCTAAACTGGTGTGTAAAGAAATCTGTCAAGTGCTTGCTAATCCCTTTCCACTGGGTTGGGGGGCTCCACCTGGGTTAGGGGCTGACCCGATTTCCTCTCCCTCCCTGCAGGACTTCCCTACTTCACTAAGCAGCCTGAGAGCCTCAACGTCACCAGAAATACAGCCTTCAACCTCACCTGCCAGGCTGTGGGCCCCCCTGAGCCCATCAACATTTTCTGGGTTCAAAACAGCAGCCGCATTAATGAACAGCCAGAAAAATCTCCCTCTGTTCTAACCGTTCGTGGTAAGTTCAGGCATCGAGCCTAACTTCCTTCTCTCTTAGAGTAGAAGGATCATATGTTCAGTGACCTCCATGCTCAACAGCAGCAGGCAGTGGAGAAGGTTAGGAGGCCAAGCAGGTGGGCGGCAGGTGGGGATCGCAGGTGTGAGGCTTCCCAGAGCCCAGGAAGCCCTGCTCACACCTGCCCTGGCAGCAACCCTCCCCTTCCATCCTGGTGGGTCTAGCCCTTAGAGCCATCAAGTTGACAATCTCAGTTGGGTGGGACAAGAAGAGAGTGGCTTGGGCAGGAAGTTTGTGAGTCATTGTGGGGTTGAGACTGAGCCGAATTCCACGGTCATCTTGATTTCTCTCCAAATGTCAGTGCCCTGGCTCTGTTCCCACAATCATGACAAAGCTCTTGTCAACAATGCCACCGCTGAGCAGTGTTCTTGTTGGCACTGAAGCCGGTGGGCTCCTGAGCAACTTCTCTTGCCTCTTCCGACAACTTCCAGCAACTTCTCATTGGTCAGGTGGCCACGCTGCCTCCCTCCTTCCTTTAGGCACTCAGGAGAGGAGGGTCTGCTGCTGGCCTGGGCTGGTCCTGGCCCAAGAACATAGTGATGGACCTGCAGGAACACCACCCTGGCTGTCTTCTGCGGCCAGTGTGGGGTTCTGATGTACAGTGCCTTGGAGGCCCACGCCCTGGGTCCCAGTACCATCTCTGTGATGGTGACCTTGAACTTTACAAGCCCACCCTTGCCGCCGTCACTGAGCCTCGGGCTCCATCTAGCCACCTCCTAGACTCCTTGGCTGCTCCCCTTGCGGAGGACACAGGCACCTTAAAATGCCGCCCTCGAAGCGCCCCCGCCTTGGTCTGCCCCAGAATTCCCCTTCTTAGTAAGGAGCATCACCATCTGCCCATCCTTCCCTTTCCTCATTTTTCATCTCGACCGCATCAGCAGTTCTGTAAGTTCTGCTTCTAGAATCTGGCCAAACGCCGCTTTTCTCCACCTCTGCTGGGGATGCTGCAGTCTATGTCTCCTCCAGCCCTTCCAACAGCAGCGCGGCAGTAGCTTCCTAAGTGGCCGCTCCCCCGTCCATGTCCCCACCCCCATCCACCCTGCTCAGCACAGATCTCATCCACCAGCTGCTGAAAACCCTTAGGTGGCTTCCCAGTGTCCTAGTCTGTCACCCAGTGTCCTCCCTGCCCCAGCTGTGGACCCTCTATGCTCTGGGCCCTGCCCAGCTCTCCACCTCAACCCTGCCACTCTCTTCTCTGTGCTCAGTAAGCACCACTGACTGGTGCTGTCCTTTCCCCCAGCGTGTTCCTGCCCCAGGGCCTTTGTATGCTCTCTTCTGTCTGCCTCTGGTGTTCTGCCCTTCAGCCCACATCACAGCTCAAGCATCACCTCTTGGGAGTTCCTTCCTGTCCATCCCAACATTCCAGCTCCTCATTTCTTGGCTTCTTGGGACCTAAGTGCTCACATTCCTAAGTGTTCCTTCCTTGCCCTTGTCCTGTGCTCTGGTCACCCTGCATACTCCTGGGCTGTCTTCTTAGCACATGCCCAGGAAGGACAAGGCCTTTGTCTTGCCCGGTGCCCTCTGCACTCCAGGGCCTGGCTCAAGGGGGAGCTGGATGGACACTGGTGTCACATGTGCATCAGCAGGTGGGCGTCAGCCCCTGGGGCACAGCTCCGCATCACATATCTGACCCTGGCTGCAGGAGGGATGCGTGACTTCCTCTAGCTTCATTTGGGTTTTCTTGGAGTTTCTTTGAATTGACCTACTGTGTTCGACATTAATATAAAATAATACTCTCCATCCTCCATAGATGATTGCTCTGAAGTCCCCTTGAGACATGTGTCATCGAGGTGAAGCTGCTGTGCAATTAAATGCATAGGACATAAGTGTACAACTTAGCATGCGCTAACTGGAGCGAGAGGACCGTAGATACTCACATAACCACTGCATGCATCAAGATATGGAGCATTGCTAAGCACAGAGGCACATGCCAGGGGCCCCAGCTACTGGGAGCCTGGGGCAGGAGGATGTCCAACTCTCAGGCCGGCCTGTCTACATAGCAAGACCGGCATCAAAAATATAAAGGGCTAGGGGCTGGTGAGATGGCTCAGTGGTCTAAAGCACCTACTTAGAACAAGCTTAGCAAAGCACAGGGACCGCGGTTCAATCCCCCAGCACCACATGCCAGCCAGCCCCGCCCCCTGGTGGGCTGAGCTGGTCACACACACACACACAAATAAATAAACACACACACACACAAATAAATAAAAAATTTAAAAAAAAAATTAAAAAAAAATATATAAAGGGCTGGTCATGTGCTTAGCATGGAGCCTTGCCTAGCTGCGTGAGGCCCTGGACTCTATCCATAGCACTAAAAATATAAGAGAGGCAAATCCATCCATTTTTGTTCCTCTTGTGCATGTTTGCTCAGAACTAGGAATGTGTTTTTACGGTAAGAGCTCCAAATTCTTTTAATGCCCAGTGCTACAATTTGTCTCAGTGTGGAGTCCTGATTTATTTCTCAATGGCCCACTGTGCCCTCACAACGGCTACCTGTTGTGAATTTCAAGTTCTTCACAATTTACATTTTCATTTCTTGGATTTCAAGGTTTGTTTTTCTATTTAGACAAGGAAGACATGAAATAAGAATTGAGCAGCTTATAGCCTAAGAGGATAACATCTGTTACAGGGTCTCACTATGCAACTCAGACTCATAGTGATCATCCTGTCTCAGCCTCCCCAAAGCTGGGATTACAGGCGTCTGCCACCATGCTGGTTGCAAGGCTGGCACAGCATGTAGTACCGGGAATCGAACCCAGGCAAGCGCTGATGCTGCTGAGCTATCTCCCCAGCCCAAGAGGATGATATTAAAAATAACCCCTTTTGTGGTGGTGTTGCTAAAGAGCTCCTCATGATAAGCACACACAGCTACACAGACACACAGGCAAGTGCAGACGTAACTGTGAAATCCCAGTGAGCCTGGGCCACTGTGCCACTGTCCACCTCCTGGCTTTGATGGTGCGCATGGGTTGTGCAGGGCGTTACCGTGGGGAGTACAGTGATGGGTAGATAGATGCTCGCATATATCTGTGGGCCTCTCTCCACTTAGAACAGGACATGTGCAGGCTAATGCCAGCCTTTACATGCGTGTCGATACATGTCTGTTGTAAGACATGCAGACTGCAGTGACATGGCACACAAAGCATGGCTGTCATTGTCCTGCACACGGAGGAAGGAGCATCAGCCTTTGTTTACTGCTTCCCAGGCCTGTGTACTCTGCTAAGCATACATGCATGTGCATTCACACATAGGTGGCCACGGCACGTACCTCTGTATGCGGGTGCCTGTGGACCTGTGCTGGGGATTGTGCCCAGGGCCTTCCCGCTGAGCTACATCCCCAGCCCTTTTTATTTATTCTTTTTAATTTTGAGACAGGGCCTTGTTAGGTCACTAAAGTTGCCCATGCAGGACTTCAACTTGCAGTCCTCCTGCCTCAGCCTTCCAGAGTGCTGGGATTACAGATGTGTGCCCCCGCACCTGGCATGCACCTTCATTTACTTATCCATTCAATTGTTGATGAACTATTAGGTTGTTTCTGTCTATTTTCTGTTGTAAATAATGTTTGCACACACATTTTTACACTCATCTGTCTTTTTTCCTATGTTCAAAAAATTTTTCCATTGACAAAAATTATATATACTTACCCTGTAAAACATGATGGGTTTATTTATTTATTTATTT